ATGATTTCGACGCACGTACAAAACGGTTTTTCCGTTTACTCAACGGTAAGAACCGTTTTACAACTGTTTGCTGGCATGAAATTCATGAGTGCCGAATTGGAGCTACATTGTAACTCATGAGTGCACTCATTTGAGTTAGTAAGGAAATTGTCATATGTGGAATTTGAAGACAGGTATTTTCAAGAGGAGAAACAAGCCAAATTCGCATGGAGTTGAGCAACTGTTTTCCAAGACAGCAAGGCGAAATTCTAGAATGCAGTTTAATAACTGTTTCACTATTTTCTTTGCTGGTATGTGATACGAAATATAAAACGTATGCTTGTGCTAGATTGTTCTCAATCCTTTCTAGTGGAAACATTTTCTGGATCTCTTTGACGAGTTAAGTTGCTCTATCAACGTATTGACGTGAAGAGCTTTTCTGCACACGAGCCAATCCGTCGTCGAATGCTGCGCAACGAAGTCTGGGAAGGCTCTTGTACACACGATAATTTTCATGCTTAGGGAAATCCCTCTTCGAAACACGGACCCTTGGATAGGGGTTGGTTCTACCAGGCACCCAAGGACCCTTGGAGATGACCCCGTGGGGACTACCTAGTGTTGATTAAAGGTGTGTTAAGAGCCTCTTCATCCCAAATAACGGTCAACGTGTATTATACAAAAAAAAAAAAAACAAAACAAAAAAACATGAGGATGTGAGCTATACAATCTGTTACGAATAGCTATTGATGAAAACATTACTGTGCACTCCTAGCCGCAGCTAAGGAAGCACGCAGTATCGAGAATATATGTGAAGGGTCAGAGTTGACCCGAAGCATCAGACAGTTAGGGTGGATCGGGACTGTCGGAGCAGACGGCATTGGGCAGCTGCAGGCAAGAGGAATAGGGCGGGAACAGTTTTGTAAATGTACGCGCCGCACGGTTGGGAATGAATTTGAAGAAGGGAATGTACCCTTTAGAGTACATGGCTAGCTAGGTCGATTCAGATTCCCTTGTACTGATATTCATATCTTTGTACTTACAAGTTCTTATCATCTCAAGCATTTTACAATCACTGTGCTATTGAGGTCAAGGGCCCACCAACACTATCTACCTGTGTGCGAACCTTCTTGAGAAGATCATAGGAGCGATCATCTTTTGATTGCAACATGGTAGGAGAGCGACTCTGAAATCCCTCGCACTGCCATCTCCAAAATCTGCGACATTCGGAAAGTGGAATCTGGCTCACGATCGCTTGTGAGAATGGCCGGAGGATCTGGTGGTCACGCAAATCTGGCGGCCGAAGCGCAGCCCAGCCCGGCTGCAACAAGCAAGTAAGTCCTCGCGCAATTAGTTCAGCGACTCACCAACCTGGAATAAGGGCTTCAAACATTGCGGAACGGCGACGCGGGAACCTCCTCGCAACCTACTCAACCAACCCCAAACAGCCAGAACGCCGCCGCGCACACTTTCTCCCTCGACACAAACGGCTCAACCCCCAAGATTCCCCGTCCCAGTAAAGAGGCAATTCTCTCTGCGCAATTAAGGTTTCTCATCATATAAAAACTAATAACAAGTGTGTGTTTTGACGGCAGAGACTTTTATACCTGGAGCTTCGAGCTAGAGCTTCGAGCTAGAGCTCCTGCTGCAGAACGCTCAGATTTTTCACTACTCCGACGGGAGTTACAAGGAGCCTGCTGAAGATACCGACGATGCCAAGGCAAGGTACTACAACGAGTCCCTGATGGCGTACGGTATTCTTCTGCGCAACATGTCGTCGGCGGAGCAGTTGAACATTCGTTCGTACAAAACTTCGCCCGCTCTAGCCCTCGACGCTTGGCGCCACCTGAACAGCATGTCTCAGCTTAAGAACTCCGTCTCTTCGAGCCGGCTGCTCCAGCAGCTACTAGAGACCAAAATGGCCCCGAGGAAGAAGGCCAACAATTACATTAACCGCTGTCGGAGTCTTCGCGACCAAATCGCGAAGTTGGGAAGCTCGATATCAGTATAGATTTTTGTCAACATCGTGCTTCAAGGGCTCGGCCGAGAGTGGCGGGCCTCCAAGGCGCTTCTCCGACAGCACGGGGTCACCTCAGAGGCCGCCCTTTGCTCCGCCCTTTTCGTCGAACAAAGGGATATGGATCAGCAGCGACCAGCGCCACGACGAGAATGTGAACGGCTCGCCTTCTACGCCAACAACACTGAAGAGCGACGGCTACGACGCCACCACTACAAGATTTGCAGAAACTTCGAGCACTTGGCGGATCAATGCAAGTCTCAGAACAATCCGAGCAACTGGTCCGGCCGACAAGACGCACAAGGTGACGTACGTCCAGCCCAGGGGTATCAACCCCCTGCGCGAAACCTGAACCCAACGATTCAGCATCAGCATCAGCAGCCGTCATCATCTGTCCCAGTTTGCAACGTCATGAGCAACATGGCCATGGCACAAAACAGAGCCGGAACCAAGGCTGAAGGTGTAACCTTGTGACAACCGCTGCGTAGCCTCGTCGTCGACCCAAGAAGCGTCTACGTGACCGGTGAGGACCACTAAACGACGCCCTCCAAGCACTAGCCCCATGCCTGACGTACTGCACAAGTAGCGCAACATCCTCTTTGCTGCAGCCAGGTGCTCTGGTCGGTGTCTCCTAGGAGCAACATAGCGTGCCAAGATGCTAAGAAGGTATGCAAGGTCAGGTCGAGTGCAGGTCATCAAGTACATGAGGCAGCCAACAAGCTCTGGGTACGGGCCACTCGACTCTACGGACTCATCCGAAGGCAGAGCTGAGAGTGAGTGGCGAGTAGACAGAGGAGTGGCCTGAAGCGAGGAGTACGTAAAGTCGAAGCACTGAAGGACCTGCTGCACCATGTGTGACTGAGTCAGGGTAACGGTGCGGCGTGCTCTGTCTCGGGTGATCTGCAAGCCAAGGTAGCTGCGCAGTTCACCCAGGTCTGTGCACGTGTGTCTCTTCTGCAACTCGGACTTCACATGGGCGAGTCCAGCAGTGTCAACAGTGGCAAAGACCAAGTCGTCAACGTTCACAAGGATGTAGAACGGCGGTAAAGAGGTGTCAGTGCGCAGAAACAGCGCCAGGTCGGCAGTAGAAGGAGCAAACCCAAGAGCCGCAAGTGTAGTCCTCAGTGTGTCGTGCCACTCTCCGGGCGCCTGGCGGAGACCGTAGACTGGCCGCCGGAGGCTCCACTTGGTACCAGGAGGAAACGACCCAGTGAAGACAGGTAGGCGGCGCAGCCAGATTTCCTCGTGCAGGCTACCCTGGGCTGAAGTCAAGAGAGCGAAGCTCGTAGTCGCGCTGAGAGGCTATGTGCAGCAGCACCCGAAGAGTCATCTTCGGGGTGGGAGAGAAGGTCTGAAAGTAGTCAACTCCCTGCCGTTGACTGAAGCCTCGAGCCACGTAACGCGCCTTGAAGACAGGCGGAGAACCCACCGGCCGCTTCACCCTGAAAATTCACATGCCACTGACAATGTTCGCCCTAGGTGGGGGAGCCTCGTCGACGTAGGTGCCTGTGGACTTCCAGGAAGCCATCTCTGCGTCCATGGCTGACTGCCACTGTGAGGAGTAGGGACCCTCGATCGCCTCAGCGTACGATCGAGGAGTCGGGATGTCTAGTGCATCCAAGTCTCCCTCAGGGGCAATAAGCACGGACACGAGATGAGGCAAAGTAATAGCAAAACACTGGAACTCCTACTGCCCGTCCTCAAGGACGTCCGTGCTCAGAGCACACTCACCCTCGACGGACGGAGGACAGACAGACTCAGACTCAGCAACGAGACTAGTAGCGAAGTCTAGACGACAGCGAGCAGCAAAGACGACAAGCTTATCAACTAAGGCAGTCGCAGCATTGGTCTGAAAGTAAGGGTCAGTGACAACAGTAGCCAGAAGACACGTGACAGTAGGACTGGCAGTACGAAGAGAGTCAGACTCCGGGTCAGCAAGAACAGGAAGAGAGGACTCTGGAGGATGTTGGATGCATGTCATTCTGAGTGCATGTCATCCTAACGTCCTGCCGAGTGCTCGTGCTATTTGTGCTTGCATGATTTGCATGAGCGTATGTCATTGTGCATGGTTGTTGGATATTATCATCTCTGTGTTTTTCTCCAAGTTTAAATGCTTGATCATGCAGGAGAAATCCAGAGCTTTCCAACGATACCAAGATCGCATTATTCCGACCAAGATCACCCAAGTTACAAGATTTCCAAGATTTGGAGTTCTTATTACCTTTTGGGGTTATATCTAATTTGGATGATTACTTGGGACATGACGATAAAGGGATCTTTGGTTGGGTGGTTAGGAAGGCAACTTTGACTTTTGGATTGGGGTGGCTAGAAGTTTCTAGCATGGGTTGCAAATGTTGCAACACCTAGGCAAAATCCAACTAGATTGGATTTTGCATGTGACACCTCAAGGACTTCATAATGAGGGTTGCATCCTTGCTGCTAGGAAGGTTCTTACCATCCTTCCCTAGCTCTTGGAGAACCCCTTCCCTCTCATGGTTCTCTTGGAGGTTCCTAACTCCAACTTTCTATGCCCTAATGTTTGTACCTCCTCCACTATTCTAGTCATGCGGCTGCTGGACGTTTTTACTTGGTTCTCACTCTATAGACCATCTTAACGACTGATTCAACTTGGAGGTGGTAGCTAAGCCTAAGGCGCAACTTTCTACTGAGGGGATTTGCGTTTAGTTGAGTAATGAGTTCGTCGTAAGCTCTCAAAGTGACGGATTCTAAACAACAAGTGGTATCAGAGCGGGTAGTCGACTTTGAGACGACGAATCGTCGTGAATTCTCGACCAATGTTGTCGGGTGAGACCATTTTCTAGTAGCTCGGCTCGCGATCTTTCGATTGGTGGTCGAATCGAAATTAATTTGAAGTATCTAGTCCGCGACGGCGATTTTCGTGGAATCGAAATTTCTGGCAGAATTCTCTCCAAACGATTTCTCAAGTTTCCACCGTTCATAAGGCCTCAATATGGTTGGTACGAACTCCGGAGGTGCTAGTGGCGAGATGGATAGGAGTAGAGAGGCTGGAGAGCAGGGGGGAGTTGCTGGTGGAGGAGTGGGGACTCACCAACCAGCCAACCCTACGCTACCTACTTCTTCTCTACCATCTTCTACTACCGTGGATCCTGTGAAAGCTTTCTCTATTGAGAAATTCATGGGGGAGGACTACGAGCACTGGAGTTTCCGCATGAGGCTGATGTATACCCAATACAAGCTAGTGGATTTGGTGGAGGGAAAGGAGAAGATACCGGAGGCCGCGGAGCTGAAAGGAGCGTGGATGAAGCGATCGTTCGACGCGTACATGCTCATGGTGCAAGCGGTGGGCGGACGACAACTTGACCACATCAAGGACCTCTTGGGTGATCCAGAGTGTGGCCCCAAGGCTTGGAGGAAGCTTTTGGATGTGCACTCACCGACACATGCTACCGGCATCGTGCTACTTGCGCGGCGGCTGCGCGACATCAAGTTCGTTGATGGAGAGCCGATGCAACCGGTGTTGGTGTACCCGGAGCTCGTGCAATGCGTGGAGATCGTGATACGGGTGCCGGAGTCATGGTCTGCCCTAGCGATCAACCTCAACTCCCAACAACCCCAATGGAGCGTGGATTACATTTGCGCGCGCATTCTAGAGGAGGACCTGCGGCGGCGGAGTGTGGAGCGCTCGGAGGAGGGGGCTGGCTATGGAGTTAGAGGTGAAAAGAGTGGCTTCAAGAAGAAGTGGAAGGGCAAGAATAAGGATAACCCTAAGGAGGATGGCGGCGGGGGTCAAGGGGAGGTGTGCTTCTACTGCAAGAAGCGCGGACATCGTTGGCGGAAGTGCTACCAACGACCCAAGGATTGGACCCCGCCTTCATCAAGCAACCAGCGTGGTGGCACAAGGAGTGGGGGAGTCATGGGAGCTAGTGGAGAGGAGAAGGATGAGGAGAAAGGCGGCAAATCTGAGGAGCGGAAGGCCGGGTTCTTCTTCTTTGTGAACGAAGGGGCAACCGACCACGCTATGGCTGCCAAGGTTCTCCTACACCCCCTCACCCATTGGGTGATTGACTCCGGGAGCTCTTGGCACATGACTCCTCGTGCGGACCTACTTGATGAGATTCAGCCCGCACCCATCTCTACAGTCACATCCGCGACGGGCGCCAAGGCCAAGGTCATGGGCATGGGATGCGCCAAGTTCATGGGAGCGGATGGAGAGCTCGTGGGGCTGAAGAACGTGCTGTGGGTGCCGGACTTGTGCGCGAACCTGATATCTACCGGCCGATTGGGAGATGCGGGTGTGAACACCGAGACGATTGGCTCGGAGCGCTATCGTGCCTACAACGATGAGCGCCTCATTTGGGACCTGCAGTGGAAGGGAGATGTCCACAAGCGGATGTGGCAGATCCCGGTCCTCCCTTGGCGGAAATCGGGCAAGGCGGCAGCGGCGGCATCTATGGAGGAGAGCGTCACCGAGGAGGAGCAACAAGGTGTGCAAGGAGAGGAGCTGATTGGAGGAAGCGCGGCGGTGAAGGCGTCGGCTACCTCGGGCCAAGCGGATTGGGAGACTTGGCATCGGCGGCTCGCACACGTGGCTGTTTCTACATTGGAGGTGATGCACAAAGAGAAGTGCGTGCATGGGCTGCAACTGCAAGGAGATGGCACTCACTATGGCAGCTGCGAGGCGTGCATGCAAAACAAGTTTGTGCGGTTCCCGTTCCCACGAGCGGAGGGATCAGCGAAGGCACCATTGGAGGTGGTGCACATGGACCTGATGGGTCCTATGAGGACTGAGGGGACTGGGGGAGTGCTGTACTTCCTCACCATGGTGGACGAATGGAGCCGTTTCACATGGGCACGTCCCTTGTCCAAGAAGAGCGATGCTGCAGCGGCGATCAAGGAGGATTGGTTGCCGATGGTGGAGCGGCAAGCGATGCGGCTGGTGAAGGTGCTGAGGAGCGACCGTGGTGGAGAGTTCCTTGGAGTGGAATTCACCAAGTTTCTCAAGAGGAACGGCATCCGACACCAGCTGACCTGCCCAGGAACACCGCAGCAGAACGGCATTGCTGAGCGTGCCAACCGGACCATTGGCGAGGCGGCTAAGACCTTGTTGGGGGCTGCTGGGATGCCTTACAAGTTCTGTTCGCCATGTCATCACGGTCAAGAACAGGGTCTTGACTCATGTTGGCGACAAGCATTGGGTGCCGTACGAGCGTTGGCTTGGGAAGAAGCCATCTATTGACATGCTGCGTGTGTGGGGCTGCATGGGGCTTGTGATGGTGCCTAAGGAGCAGAGGCACAAGCTGGAAGTTGCTGCTGTGTGGGCTGTCCATGTGGGGATGGCTCGTGACTCGAAGGGGTGGCTGATGTGGGACCCCAAGAGCAAGAAGTCGTTGGTCAGCCGTGACGTCAAGTTTGTGGAGGACGTCATGTACAAGGACTGGCAGCAGCAGCAGCAGGTGCAGATTGGCTTGCGTCTGCAGGAGATTGAGCGGTCTGCAGTGGAGGAGGTTCAGCTGCACCTTGATGAACTCCATGGGTCAGAGCTGACCAGTGACCACATTGGCGGTGGTGAGCAGCAAGACGCTGGTCCTACTGCGGAGGAGGGGTTGGAGGATGAGTCGGCACGTGTGGACTCACCATCTCAGCCTGAGCCTGCTGCAAACGCCAAGGTCACCAAGAGGAGTGTGCAGAGAGGAGCTTCACCACATGGGCAGCAGACTGTAGCCCGTGAGAAGAGAGTGGCAGCAGCACCCTCAAGGCTGAAGTATAGCCGTTTGGGAGGACCCAAGCAAGGTGCCATGGCGGTTCAGGCGGATGAGGGAGAGGATGAGGAGATGGCGTTCTGTTTCTTCACACCCTTGCCTGGAGAACCAGCCACAGTGGAGGAGGCACTCAGTGGACCCCAGAAGGAGGAGTGGAGGGCTGCCATGGATGCGGAGTTCAACGGTCTCATTGAGAATGAGACTTGGGAGCTTGTTGAGTTACCCGAGGGGCGACGGCCGATCAGCAGCAAGTGGGTCTTCAAAGTGAAGAGTAGTGCTGATGGTGCGCTGGAGCGGTTCAAGAGCCGTTTGGTCGCCAAGGGGTTTCAGCAGAAGGAGAAGGTCGACTTTGGGGAGATCTTTGCTCCCGTTGCTAAGCCATTGACACTGAGGACTTTGATGGCTGGCGCAGCTGTGAAGGGATGGCACGTGAAGCAGATGGATATCACCACTGCATTCCTCAATGGAATACTACGGGAGGATATCTACATGGCGCAGCCCGACGGCTATGAGGATGGGACCAGCCGGGTGTGCAAGCTTAAGAAGGCCATCTATGGCCTTAAGCAAGCGCCCAGGTGTTGGTACGAGAAGCTGGAGGAGGTGCTGTTGGGTGGAGGCTTCAAGACGTCCCAGGCGGATCACAGCTTGTTTCTGCTTGGAGAGGGGGAGCAGTTGCTTTTGCTGCTGGTGTATGTCGATGACATACTGCTGTTCTCACCCTCCATGGAGCAGATTGAGAGGACACAGAAGCTGCTGATGGACAACTTCAAGTGCAAGATGCTGGGGGATGTCCACTACTACTTGGGGCTGCAGATTGAGAGGGATGTTGAGAGGAGGTGGCTGAAGGTGCATCAGTCACACTACATCGCTGGTGTCATGGAGCGGTATGGTGTGACTGGGGGTCGCACTGTGATGACACCGTTCCCTGCAGGCTTCAAATTGAAGAAGGCAGCAGAGGAGGATGATGTGCTTGAGGATGAGCAGCAGAATGAGTACCAGTCACTCATTGGGAGTGTGATGTATGCAGCTGTGCATACGCGACCTGATGCTTCATTCGGAGTGGGGCAGCTGGCCAGAGTTGTGCAACGGCCCACTGTGGAGCAGTTGGAGGTGGCAAAGCGCTTGGTGCGCTACCTCGCATCAACAGCATCTGCTGGTGTTCAGTTTTCAGCTGGCGGCCAGCTGAAACAGATTGGAGCAGATGGGGTCACGCCTGGTACCTTGAAGCTGTCGTGCTTCACCGACGCCACATGGGCCTCAGAGGATGAGGATCAGTCATCGGTTGGCGGCTTTGTGTGCATGGTCGGAGGTGGACCAGTGAGCTGGAGGTCCAAGAAGCAGAGTGAGATTGCTCAGTCTTCTGGAGAGGCAGAGTACATGGCGATGTACCATGCCATCAAGGAGATCGTGCTCCTAAGGAAGCTGTTGGAGGACATGGGAGCTGAACAGGAGGGACCTACACCACTTTTCTCCGACAGCGAGGCTGCTATTGGCATGGCCAATAATCCTATCCTGAATGGGCTGAACAAGCACATGAAGATTAAGTGGCACTAGGTGAGGCAGATGATGAAGGAGGGAGCTGTTTAGCTTCACCATGTGAAGGCTAGCAAGCAGGCAGCAGATTTTCTTACGAAGAGGCTTCCTGAGAGCGCACATTGGAAGTGTGCTAAGATGTGCGGCATCGCATTGCACTAGTGTGAGGAGCAGTGTCATGAATGCATGTGTGATTGTGTGCACGAGACTATGCATGTGTGTGAGTGTGTGTGCATGCAGTCCATTAGTCTGAGGGGGAGTTTGTTGGATGCACGTCATTCTGAGTGCATGTCATCCTAACGTCCTGTTGAGTGCTCGTGCTATTTGTGCTTGCATGATTTGCATGAGCGTATGTCATTGTGCATGGCTGTTGGATATTATCATCTCTGTGTTTTTCTCCAAGTTTAAATGCTTGATCATGCAGGAGAAATCCAGAGCTTTCCAACGATACCAAGATCGCCTTATTCCGACCAAGATCGCCCAAGTTACAAGATTTCCAATATTTGGATTTCTTATTACCTTTTGGGGTTACATCTAATTTGGGTGATTACTTGGGACATGACTATAAAGGGATCTTTGGTTGGGTGGTTAGGAAGGCAACTTTGACTTTTGGATTGGGGTGGCTAGAAGTTTCTAGCATGGGTTGCAAATGTTGCAATACCTAGGCAAAATCCAACTAGATTGGATTTTGCATGTGACACCTCAAGGACCTCATGATGAGGGTTGCATCCTTGCTGCTAGGAAGGTTCTTACCATCCTTCCCTAGCTCTTGGAGAACCCCTTCCCTCTCATGGTTCTCTTGGAGGTTCCCAACTCCAACTTTCTATGCCCTAATGTTTGTACTTCCTCCACTATTCTAGTCATGCGGCTGCTGGACGTTTTTACTTGGTTCTCACTCTATAGACCATCTTAACGACTGATTCAACTTGGAGGTGGTAGCTAAGCCTAAAGCGCAACTTTCTACTGAGGGGATTTGCGTTTAGTTGAGTAATGAGTTCGTCGTAAGCTCTCAAAGTGACGGATCCTGAACAACAGAAGAGACGGCAACGGGACACGTAGAGGAGCAGTGGACGGACGTAGTGTCATCTGGTGTCTGCCTGAGATTGAAGGAGGACGCGGACACGCAACACAACCACTAGTGCGAGCTGCTCGAACAGGCGATGCAGGACGAGACGCAGGCTCACGATGCTCAACAAGACCTCCAGTAGGACCAGTGTAGGGACAAGGAGCAGGCAGGGGGGAGGCGGGTTGTAACTATGACTGCGACTCGACAGGCTGTGGACACCCTAAGTGAGGAGCAGGACTAGGAGAGGGCGAGAGACCAAGAAGCTGCTCCAGGAGCGGAACAAAGTACGGCCTCGGCCGCACAGCGCCTCCAGAACCAGCAAGGACGGCACCAGTACCCCCAGCGGCAGCACCAGCTCCAGCAGCACCTCTAGCTCCAGCAGCGCCAGCTCCAGCACCCTTAGAAGTACCAGCGCAAGAAGCACCTCCAGCGCCAACACCTCTAGCAGCTTTAGGACATCCAGCACCACCCGCAGCACCTCCAGCAGAACCAACTCCAGTAGCCCCAGCAGTACCCCCAGTCTCACCAGCTCTAGTACCGCCAGTACGAGCACCTCCAGGACCAGGGTCTCCAGTACCTCTAGCGCCGACCTCAGGGTCAGCAGCAACAGTAGCACCTCCAGCTCCAGCGCCGGGCAAACCACTCGCGCAGCTCTTGTGGAGAGGGTAGCTCCCGACGAGACGAAGCACCCGAAGGACCCCCAGACCCAGCTCCGCCAGAGGCCACACGAGGAGACCCAGTACCCCCAGGCTCCGCACCCCCAGGCTGAGCACCCCCAGGCTCCGCACCCCCAAGCTTTGCACCCCCAGGCTCAGCACCCCCAGGCGCAGCACCCCCAGGCTCCGCACCCCCAGGCTCAGCACCCCCAGGCTCAGCACCCCCAGACTCAGCACCCCCAGGCTCAGCACCCCTAGCAGCACCAGTGTCAACAGCTACCTCGACAGGCTCGTCTGCGTCTATCTGGGACACACCTGTCGGGGCAGGACCCTGAGGGGGGAGAGGGTCTACCGGGGGGGGACCTGGCGCAAGGAAGAGCGGCGGCGGAGGGAGGGGCGCAGTGCGATAGGGGAAGAGACGGTAGTAAGGAACCGACTCGTCAAAGGTGACGTCCTGGGAGGACAGAACACGGCACTAGGTGGGGTGGTAAAACTGCCAACTAGGCGCGTTACTGGGGGAGCCAAGGAAGACACAGGGAATAGCACGGGGGGACAACTTGTCCGCAGACAAGTTGCGGACAAACGCCCGAGATCCCCAGACCCGAAACGCAGAGGCATCGCCAACCTTCCCCGTCCACCGCAAGGTGGGGGAGGTCTTTGGCAAGGAGACCCGGGGCTGAAGGTTGAGCTGATGCGCTGCGTACTGAACTGCAAACACCCACAAAAAATGGGGGGCAGCCGCATGGATCATGGATGTACGAGCGACATCCATGACCATGCCAATGCGGCGCTCAGCAATCCCATTTTGCTGTGGAGAGGCCGGAAGCGTGAACGTCAGGCGGATGCCTTATGCACGACACAAGGCTCCCATAAGGGCAGAGGAAAACTCCCCGCCTCTGTTAGAGTGCAGACGCAGAACAGGAAAGTCCGAGCCGAAACTCTCCCTGAGCTGGAGACGAGCCGTGCGGATCCAGTCCATCAATACCTCAGTGACGTCACCCTTGCTGCGCAAGGGGAACACCGTGGTGTAACGCGAGTAGTCGTCAACCACCAACAGGAAGTAACGCTCGTGACCCTGGCCACGGACGCGAGCGGGGCCCCACACGTCCATGTGAAGAGTCTGCAGCGGAGCCTCTGTCGGAGGAAAAATGATTTGATACCATGTCAGAATCCCAACCACTAGACAATTGGGATTAAAGGGCTTGTTAAGTAGCGGATCAGTGCGCCCATAACTCCCCAGGCCAACATGTCTATAACCCTTCCCTAGGATCAATCGGGGATCACCAGTGGACCTCTGACACCCCCCCGCACTGGGATGCCCGAAGTGCACACACTGGGATTCGGACCCGAGACCTTCGCTCTGATACCATATGAAAGAATGAGGAATGATTGACTATAGGAAAGGTTGGGTACAAGTACAAACTCTAGAAATGTGTTGTACCCCATATTGTCTACCCCACTACAACCTACACAGACTATAGCATATAAGTTTGACAAAGCGCTGGTGGATGGGGAACGAGTGACACCGGCGGATGGGGCAATAGCAGCTGGACCCGGGCCAACGCAAGTGGCATTTGGGCAACTGCAACTGGTGACAAAGGCAGCAGCTGGGGGACTTCCCGCGAAGAACAAAGGGGGGGAGAAGGAGAAGTAGAGGAAGTAGAGGCTACACTCGCGATTGTTCCCCTTGGTAGCACCCCGCGCCATGCCCCACTCACGCTACTTTCAGAATCCCAACCACTAGACCATTGGGATAAAAGGGCATGTTTCAGTAGCGGGTCAGTGCGCCCATAACCCCCTTGGCGAACGCACCTGTAACCCTCTCCAGGATCAATCGGGCATCCACAGTGCAGATCTACTAACAACTACCTCCTCTTGACAACCCGCCGCATCGTGACCCTTGGGACACCATCGATTGGGGCAACGAGCCGTCGACCCCGCGTTGCACCGTTTATGGACCTGCCCCCGAACCGTGTGAACCTACCTTCGTCACCGGAACTATCCCTGGGAACAACATCTCCCTCGCTGATGCTAATCACCGCCAACGAAGAAGCCGAAGCAGTAGAAGAAGTAGCTGCAGCACCTACCCCAGTTCCTGACGAAGACCCTGACGAAGTTCTCGTGCGCTACATGCGCATCTCCGGTTTTCGCGCCGACGACGCGCTCTGGCACCAGCGTCTCGGCCACCCTTCCCGCGCGACATTGAAAAATTGCATCGAAGGAGGCGTTTTTGCTCCTTGGGCACTCCTACGCTCAGATGGCACCAAAGTGAGGGGTGCAACACACCCGCGCAACTGCACCATCTGCCTCGAAGCCGACCTGCTTTACACAGGATCGAGTAACGAACTACTAGAGCAGTTTGCGAAGAGTCTGGCGGGGCGCGTCGATATCACCTTCAACTACAAGGTGAAGCAGTTCCTAGGCCTCAACATCTCCTACGCGCCAGAAGTTATCCACCTCTCAGCGGCTAAGTATGCAGAGGAGCTAGGGAAGCGCTTCGACATTTCGTCTGCACCGCTCTCCACTCCCTACCGCACTCCCGGACCAAATCACAAACCCGACAACAAAGCCCTATCCCCCGCTGGAATTTAGACTTATCAGCAGCAGCTGGGATGTCTACTCTTCGCCTCTGTCACATGGAGGCCCGACCTTGTCAGAATGTTATTATCTAGCCTGTAGTGGGGTGCTCTATAGCGAGTAAAACCCTTGTTAGGGTTTGCTATATGTATCCCAACTACTCCTAGTGAAACCCTTCCTTTCTTCATTCCTCATTTATTTCTTCACATGCTATCAGAGTAGGTCGACCCTCCTGGGTCGTTCTTGTGTATGGGCCCACCACCCCACTGCTTCCGCTGCCACTGCTACTGTGTGTGTTGCACGCCCCGTGGCGTGCGACGGATTTTTCTTCCTGCCGCGCGCTCGGAGCGTGCGGCGGTTTTCTGCCCGCCGTGCGCCCCGAGGCGTGCGGCGGTTCTCTGCCCGCCGTGCGCCCCGAGGCGCGCGGCGGCTTTCTGCCCCGTCGGTCCGCGCGTCGCCCCCGAGGGACGCTTCGACGGGCAATGGGGACCAGCCCGTCGTCCCCGGTCGCCCGTCCTGGCCAGCGCGGGCTGCGCTAGCCCCGAGCGCGGCCCGTACGGGCTGCGCCCGGCCCGCGCGCGGCTCGGGCCGCCTGCACGCGGTTTGTCTGGCTGTGCCAGGCCCGTGGGTGGCCCGTTCTTCTTTGCCCCTGAGCTGCCCGCTGTCCCCCGTGCTTCTGACGGCGCCCCACCCCTGCTGCTGCCCGTTCTCCTGAATTAGAGTTTGGGGGTGGGGGGTATGGGGGTGCAGTTTCTGTGCGCCATTCCACTGCTCCTCCTCCTCCTCCGTCTCCCGCTGTTGCAGCTGCCGCTAAGGGGGGTGAGTGTGTGGGAGACGAAGGGGTGGTGCTAGGGGGGTGACATGGGAGTGGAGTTAGGGGTGAAGCAGTGAGGGTGTGTGTGATAAGGGTGTGGGTCAGTTGGAGGAGGTTGTGTGGAGGTAGCTGTCGTGTCG